CGCCTGCTGCTTTAAACTGTATGAATGTATGACAGACACTAAAAAACTATCATTGGTTGATTTATTCGCTTTGATTTTTTGTTCTGATTTATGCCTCAGCGCAACAAATTTTAATGAAAATATTCAGTTTATTACTCTGCTAGTGAAATACTACTGATGACTATTTCTTTTCTGTTGCCTGTTTTTATATATTCGTAAGAGGGTAAATTTTGAACCTCCCAAATTTGATACTGAACGAATATGTATGAAATTCTGTACTTCTTTTGTAGTTTAAATGCCATATGGTCATTTGTTCTGTTCCGGTCATACTATAATTATGTTTTTAGCTTTCCGAAGCGGGAAAAATAAAGAATCAGATCATTGCGAACGAGCTAAAACTTCCTCCAGTCAAGCTGCATTGTTCAAGTATGAAACTGATTTGTCAAATTTAGTATGAATTAAAAGTTAGTCTTTAATTATATAATATGCGTATCTTTCGAAGTTTCAGGTTATTATTGTCGCATGAATATAAGTCATTTTTATATATGTTAAGAGTGGCATCGAAAGTGATACAAGAGTTCTCTATGCGGCAGATTGTAGTGTGTTTTCAAAAGTCATGGACGGTAAAACAGTGCATAAAATCTTTAATAGACAGATGTTCTGGATTAGGCTAGCTGCGACTTAAGAGCTGCAATAGTACTTGCAAAAATAAGCTATGTTTTGTCTTAGTTCAATAAATTTATACTGAATTAATTTGATAAATAATACAGTTTTATAGATTATTTAAATTAACTATTTTACGTATCCTCATTACTTCAAAGACTTTCCAAAAAAACATTTTTGGTAAAAGTTCGTTCGTATAGAGTTCGCCGTTGTCTTTAACTTCACCATTCGTAAAAATGCGGTTTTGTGTTGTTGTTTCTTACTTTTTGTTTAGTAAATATATTAGGGTTTTTTCCGCGTCCTTTCAGATAGTCGAGTTGTGAAAAGAGATCACATTATTCGTACGCCGGTGTCTCAAATAAAAATGACTCCTTCAGCA